ACCCAACCCACCCCACAATGATTAAGTAAGAGAAATGCCCCCTTTTCTTTGTTGAAGTTCAACTTTTCTTTGCCCCATAAGTCAAGGGTTGGCCTTAAATGTTTCTCTTAAAGCAACTCACTCATCTATTTCCAACTTACGGCAATTCTTTTATCTATCCAATTCAAAAATTTGCCTGAACTTATAAAAAAATAATCTGTCTGAACTCCAATAATAATAATAATTTTCCTGAACTCATGGCAACACACGCAGATCACGTTATATTTTATCCAACTCCATATCTGAAAATGTATGAAATACGGACAACTGGAGAAAGAAAGAGACTTTTTCTACTGGAATAGAACTGAATTAGAATTAATGAAATTATCAGAAAGGATTCACTTATGTTCTCTATCATCATTGAAAATGTTGCAGAAAGTAGTAGCATAAGATACCTAATTTACAAAGGCCTGTAACTCCTATTGGTATTATAATTATTCTTTTTAACTATAATTTCCTATATGAGCAAATGTATTGACAATTTGTTCTCTACAAGGGTCCTACAAGTATGGAGGAAAGACTTACACAGCATCAGCAATGTCTCAAGGATCAAGCTTGACAAATTGTAGGATGGTAGCCCTGAAGGCTCTGAAAGTTAATGAATCAGCATGCACCCACATGAAATGCACCTTTGGTGGTGTGTGGAACGGTGGAGGTGGAGATGGTCAGAAGAATATGTTTGTTGCCTCATTTTTCTTTGACCGAGCTGCTGAGGTAAAAGTCACTGTTGAGCTAGATGCTTACCAAGATTTGATGGCTTTAGAATAGTATACCTTTTTTTGCTGTTCTAAGAAGGATAAACTCCCTATTTCTATGGTTATCTGACTATCGTAATGTGTTGTGGGCATAGGTTGGTTTTGTTGATCCAAATGTAGCTGTTGCAAAAGTTCGCCCAATTGATTTTGAGAGTGCAGCTAGACGTGCTTGTGATACTAGAATCGATGATGCCAAAGCTACATTTCCTCGTGTGGACCCTGATAACTTGCCGTTCTTGTGCATGGATCTTGTCTATCAGTACACTCTACTTGTAGATGGATTTGGTAAGACTAGATATCCTTCAGAAAATACGCGATCCCACTTCATCATTTTTAGTATGTTTCAGTCAGACATTGTATTCTTTATTGGACAGGACTTGATGCTCGTCAAGAAATGACATTGGTGAAAAAGGTGAAATACAAGAATTCCCTGGTTGAAGCCGCATGGCCATTAGGCAGTGCCATTGAAGTCGCGTCATCAATGAATTAACTTGGAGATTCAAGATTAACTCAAACCAGTTTTGCCTTTTATTAGCTTGTGGTTATCAACTATCAGCTATTTCCGACCTGCAACTGGGCTCGCCGTGCTCTAGAACATCATCCTTGCCATTTAGTTGGATGCCTGGTCCGAGCAAATTCAGATTGTTTCCCCTTTTATTCAGAGAGGGTGGGTGATTAAGAATAATGATAAGATCTGTTTGTGATTATATTATAGGAAACACTGATTTGTTTCACGATATGATAGATTCATATTTTTACTTGATTCTTTTCATTCATTCCTCTTTGCCAGTTCCGACACCAACCACTTCTGAAAGATAACTGGAAATCTTTAACCTAGCAATCCTGATATGGGCTTCGAAATGTGAATTTGTTGAGTTGACTCTTGCAATTATCCAATGAGACGAACATATACACAGTATATCACAAACTAGTTCCCCCAGCTGGTGGTCTTTATTTAAAACTGAGTTGCAAAATCTCCTAAAATGTTCTAATGGTATATTAGCTAAAGTAGCTCTATACATGAAAAAGAAAAACTGAGACCAAACTTGCAGTTTGCAGCCTGCTTGTTAAGCCGTCTCAACTGTTGCCTCAGCTGGTCTTCAGAAATACGAACAGGAAGAAATCCATGAGGTAAAACTCTCTTAGAATAAGCAAGCTTAGGTCGACAAAGGTCTTGACCACAAAA